CTTGGTGTTTTTTCATTATTTCTGGGACTATAACTTTAAAAGAAGAATTAGAGTTTTATTGCAATTTGAACAACTCGCAAAATGCTGGAAGATAAGGAGCATACAAGAAAGATATAAAAGTTACTTATGGTGAAAGGGGAAGATTTATTTGTCATAAGTTTAATTTTACAGAACTCCATCTGTATTAATTGGATTTGTTTTTTCTACTGGAAAACTTTTTGTTTTTCCTATGATATGCCTGTTAATTGGCTGGATTTTCAAAACAAAAGATAGTAATTTGAGCTTTTTGTGTATTCCCTATTGGCCCATCCCTGCAATTACAGCTTGAAAGGCACCAGAGGGCATGACCTGTCTGCTTACTTTCACTTACACAATACCTATGGTTGCTTGTTTTGGGGGCAAGGGAAGAAAAAAGGTAGAAGAGGCCCTTTGGAGCAGCCATTAGAAGATAAAACAATTTTTTTAAGTTTACTCCAATCAATATTTGATGAATTAGGAGCTGAATTCAAGTCCCTCGATAAAAAGATAAGAGGAAAGATTGGATAAGATGGTTAATTTTGAAATGGACGTACAGATTGACTTGAATGTGGATTTGGGGTTCAAAAAAATCCTGGATTATAAAGCTGGCACGAACAAAGATGCTGTAGATCTGAAAATGGATTTTAAAATACCAAAGGATAAGAGTGATATGCAAAAGGATGCCAGAATGATTTACAAATGAAACCAACTGATGTTATCATGATCAAAGGGGACATGCAAATAATGGAAAAGTAGAGTGACTTGGAAAGACTTATCCTGGATTTGCAAAAGGAATGTGCTGAATCAGTGAGGCTGATCCTGGGAAGAGACAAAGAAATTACTGGGGCTGTTTGTGGGAGAAGACAAGGACAGAATGATGGGGAACCAACTTGTAGAACACTATTTGAAAGAATTAAAGATTAAGCTCTTTAAAAGTAAACAGAAGGTTTACAAAGTGAACTTATTTGATTATGGTTAATATATATGTTGAGGTTTTTGGTAGTTATTAATGGGATCTTTTTCTGATCAGGATTGAATGATGAAGTCTTAAAGATCTGTGTATAAAGGGGGAGATATTTCAGTTGCTCTTTTTTTTTAGAGAAAATGATAAATTGGATTATAAAATAGATTTATTTTTGACTAAGGTTAAAATATATTTGTTATTAAATTTATGGAATTTTGTTCTTATATATGATAATTGCAGTAAGGTATTTTATATGTACAAAGGTGGAAGGATATGACAGTATCTACAATGGAAGAATGGATGGTGACGCTGAGTTGGCTGAGATGGTGAAATTGATGGCTTTCATTTGAGAAAAGATATCGTGCAATTTTAATGGAAACTTTTTTGCATTTTTTGCATTTTCTGCGGGAAAAAGGAAAAAATGAAATTATGTTGTATGGATTTGATTATTA